GGGGGTGGGAGGAGAGCATCCGACACGGAGTGGGCGATGCTGCTGGAGGAGCCCAGCCCCAGCCCGGCCAGAAGCTGGCCTGCTGAATAATCCCTTTGGGAAAAAAACCAACCCAAAAAAACCCAGAAAGAAGGCCCTGTTATTTATCTCGCACTCCCCCAAAAGGTGCTAGCCACGTCGCGCAGCTACTCCGAGGAATTCGGGATAAATCCAGCAGTGAAAGGCGGGTGGCAAGTGGGATGTGATAAAGCCGGTGATTACAGGCAAGCGAGCCACGCTGCCGCTGGTGTCTCAGGGCTCTTTTGGTTTGCTCCTCCATATCCATGACCGTTTTCCCCTGGGAAAGCTGGGAGAGTCCCTTAGCCTCCCCAGAGGCGATCCGGGATGGATGGGGAGAGCAGCAGCTCCGTCTCCATAGGACGCAGTTGAAAATAAACCTTGATGGCTGGGAGCAACTTGGGAGGCTGGCAGCGCAAGCCCAAGCTGGGCACGTCTGGGGCTATAGATGTATTAGCAAAAAGCAGATTAATTACTGTTTAATCACAGGGTTTGGGCAGAATGAGAGCAGAAGGAGGCAAGTGGGAGCGAAATCTTGATGGAGAGGATGCCTGCCTCATTGATCGGGCATCACTTAGCAAAGGGAAAGCAGGGACGTCTCCACTTGCGGATGCTTTCTGCCTCAGCGATGTTTTGCTCTGAAACATGAAAACACAAGCTCCTGGGGACAGCCGGCGGGGCAGGGTATTACCCACAGCACGTCGGTGCCCGCTGGCATCAGCAAAGGAAATTATCAGTCGTGCAGGACATGAAACAGCACAGGAATCCTGAAGCATCCTCGGTCCAGGCTCACGCGGGGCGCTCCAATGCAGGTTTTGATTAAAAATGAAGACAACTCTCTGGGTCGCTGAAAAATGACGCAAAACTTGGCCCTCTATTCATCTGACACCATTTACAAGGTTTTCCCAGGTACCAGAACCACAAATTCAGCCTAGCAGCTAAAAATTAAGCCGTGCTCTTTCTGTATAACTGTTAGTTGTTAGGATAAAGAAAGATGCTGGGGCTGGGATGCAGCCGGTGATTCGTGGACTACGTGGACGGTCCAGGGGGATGCAGCCCCAGGCTGGAAGGGCAGGAGTAACATCCCGGGGTTTGCCAGGGAATGCTCAGGGCTTGAGCATTTAGCAAAGGGATGCTCAGAAATAATCCCAAGGACCAACCACGTGTGTGGTGCTGGGAGCTGGAGGAAGAGAATTGCCTGAACTGGTTTTAAGAGGGATGGCAGCAAGCCGTGAACTTTATTGCACAGCAGGAGAAGGGAAAAGGCTCCTCGACCCACGGTGCCTCATGTAGGACCTGGAAGCCCCCATGTGCATCGATAAATACACGTTTATCAATCAAATGCCTATGCGTATCAGCACAGCAGGCTGATGGAAGAGCTCTGCCCAGCCTATGTCAGGCAGTTCCCAGAGAGCACACGTTTTCTTGGGCTAAATATCCATTGAGCGCAGGAGCGTGCATGCCGAGGGTGCAAGCCAAGAGGTTTCCAGGGCTGCTGGAAATTTATTGCCTGTCCCTCTTGGTGCTGGCCTTCATTTCTGATCATCCCAGCACCAAGGGAGCCGGTCCCCTGACTCGTCCGTAAGCAAAAGCTAAATTGCATTTTGCTCTTCTGCAGCACATCGGATGCAAGGTTGATTACTCAAATCCCGTTTGCAAAACATAAATGTGTCACTTGAAACTCTTCACCCCGGTGTCCTCCCAGGACTTTATCCATCTTCAAGCTCACTCTGGGTGTTTCTCTCTCCTGACTTTGTCCTTCATCCCTAAAGCAGCTCTGAGAAGAGCGAGCCTGGAAGAACCTTTGCTCAACACTTGCTCTTGCACAGGTGGCCACAGGCTTCCCCCGCCGATTTATCGGGTAATCGCTGCCTCTTCTTTCCCTCTTTTATCCTTAGAAAATAAATCAACTGAAAAAAGTCGCCTCTTCGTCTCTGCTGGCACAGCCCCCAAAACAACAGGCAACAATGCACCCCGTTTCGAGCACGCGCGCACAGGTTTTGGATGCTCAAGCACCAGTCTGACTTCAACCCTACAATACCTGACCCCTGCATCCTGCTACGGGGCCCTTGGGCAGCTCAGTTCATCCTCACGGGCCTCAGTTTCCCCTGTTTCAAGCAGAAACCGGCGTTCATCGCACCTGAACCGTCTCCGAGCGGCGATGCCTGCCTCCCACCCAGCACTGCTGCCTGGCTAAACCGTGAAGGAGCGGAACACTCCCAAGGAAGACACCCAAATCCCTTCCAGGCATGGAGGAGCTTCCCATGCACCCAAACCCATGGGAGCTGACAGGTACCACAGCATGAGAAACAGCTTTTTTTTCCTACTCTTAATAAATTGATGCAATTCGAGGCAATGCACCGGCTTTCCGCTCTAATCCTTTAATTGGGCTGCGGGATCCTCCTTCTGCTTTAGCAAAAGAGTTTCATCCGCCAGCTCCGCGCCTGTCATTTGGGAGAAATAGCCGGCAGAACGATGCGCTGGCACCGTCTGCCTCCTTCTCCTTCCCACCTTCCCAGCCACCGGCCGCTCTCCAGCATCGGGAGCAGATGGATCCCTGAAAGCTCCCGCTCACCTTCTCTGGGGCGGCACATCCCAGCGATGCACAACTCCAAGGCGTCAGCGCGTCCCGGCTAAGCTCAGCTAATGTGCTTAAATGCAGCTCTTTAGCTTTTCCATCCCAAGCATCTGAGGGATGTAGTACAAGCAAACCGGTTTGCACCTTAACCCGTTAATCTCAATTTTCTTCTTTTCCAGCATTAATTGCAGCGGTGGCTCTGCCACGTCGGCGACAGGCGGATGCTCTCAGGGAGCATCGGTCGCGGGCTGGGCATCCCCTGTGCTCGACACAGCCAAACACAAGAGCACAGTCTCAGTTCCTCAAGCTCATAATCTCATTAGAAAGCTGGACAGACAGATCCACAGGAAAATAAACCAACGGGAGCAACGCGAGCCCCAGTGCTGCTACCGTTTGAGGCTGTTGGGATCCAGCTGTGGGGGCTTTGGCAGCCTCGGGCATCGTAAATCCCCATCGCACAATAAAAGCCCGGCACGTCGACGGCCCCAGTTGGAACCTAATTGCTGCAAATGTGATTAAGGCAGCATTTTTTTTTCTTGCATCACAGAGAGGAGCTGTTTTAAACCCACTCCTCAAATTACACCCCAATTTTCTGACACACAGGGAGATGTCTGGGTGCCTCTGGAGTCTGCAGGAGCGGCAGGGTCCTCAGCACTCCAAAAATATCAGGTCAGTGGACTTGAACGATGAGATAAATGTGTTATAACCAGGTCACCCAACACCATTGATACTGCAGTGGGTGCAGGACCCGACACCCACTGTGATGCCTGGGAATACCACGGTCCCTTTGAAAATGAGGTTCAACAAGGCCAAGTGC